CTTCTTCTCCTTCTTCTTCTCTTCTCTTCCTCCTCCTCTTCCTCTTCCTCCTCGTTCTCCCCCCCTCCTGTGCAGACCTCCTCGTCCTCCCCCCCTCCTGTGCAGAGTACATTTCTCTGGGGCTCAGTCCATGTGGTCACTGGGAACACAGCGAGCCCCTTATGCACAAGGCTGCTCCCAGGGCCAGCCACGGACCCCTCCTGACCAGCAAGGCCACTGCAGCCTCTGGGTAGGTTCCCTGCTCAGCTGGCCCAGGCAGGCTTTTGTCAAATGCCCTGGAGCAGGGGCGGAGGCATGGGCCTGTGGCCCACGAACCCTGGGCTTGCAGGGATTCCAGGGTCTCACAGGACTTACACCGAGCAGTAAGTGTAGGCTATAGAGCTGGCTGTTCTAAGGCTATGTCAGACCAAAGGGAAGACCCGATTATGACCCTGGTTTGTTTGTATGTCCTTGGGCTTGCACTGAGGGCCTTGGCAGTGTCCTGTTAGCACTCCACCACCAGAGCTACAGCCCCACTTCTGGTCTTTGTTGCTAGTTAACAGGAGATAAGAATCTTATGGACTTTCCTACCCCAGCTGACTTCTGACTGAAATTCTGCGATCCTCAGATCTCAGCCTCTTGAATAGCCAGGATTACAGGTGTGAGCCACCAGCGCCCAGCTTGCTCTCTGTTTTAAAGAGCTCTGTTCCCACTGTGTTCTGCAGTTGGTTCTTAGCATAGAGAATATGGGTTCTGCACCTAATTAGGAGGCTCATACACACTGGTGTACACACATAACACACGCATATACATGCATACACACCTACACACACGTAGAAGACCTCAGCCCCCACACATCCACCCAGAGGGTCTGCATGCACCACCACGCCAGGCTGAACTTCAATTTGTGCATGTTTAAAGGATGGTTGCATGAGCCTAGTGGGACCACTCTAGGAACAGAGCAGTGGTCTGTCCCCGTGAGTTAGTGCCCTAGGCCCCGTGGCACAGAGGGGCACACTGTGGTGGCCAGGGACCGTTCACAGTGGTCCCTGGCTCCTGGAAGGGGGTGGTGGATTCTCAACAGAAGATGCCGGAGAAAGAAAAGAAAAAAGACTGAAAAGCACCACCTAGCGTTGGAGGTAGGGCTCTATTTGTAGAGCACTTGCCAATGAGCCAAAGTATCAGGTACCGAAAGAAAGAAAACAAAACACCCTATCCACAGATAGATGCCTTTGCCACTGCTCCGTTCCAGACTGCGCGTGTTTGGAGTGGCCTTCATGCGCGTGATTCCCCGACCCCTGGGCTGTGCGTCCAACGCCAGCTTCTTCATTCCCAGGAAACTTGACACTACACGCTCATGGCCCGGAACGTTCCCTCACAGCTCAGCTTCCCCCCAGTTTTCTTGGCAATTCTCAACGTATGGCTCCTTCCATAGGGACGTTTCTCCTCTTTCTTCTTTTCCATTCAGATGCCTCCGGTCCCTCCTCAGCCCTCCTTTCCTGTCCCGATGAATTCAGAGAAGGCCAGGCACAGAGTCTGCGCTAAAGCAAGCACTGATCCCTGCCCACAGCCCCACATCCTAGAACAGGGCGGGTGAATTGTCTGAGTCCGAGTCCCAGGCAGGGCTGCATGAAGCCTGTTGTCCCCTGGATCTTCCCTCTTGCTGATGTCTGCCACGCACACCACCCCTGCTCCTCTTTGCTGGATCTGTTTCTGCTCTTCCCAGCCTTTCTCTGGGGGAGGTGATTGGGACCTCAGCTCAGATGCCTGCAGATCCTGAAACTCTAACCTGTTCTCCATCCATGCCCAGCTCTCCCAAGCCCTGCTACCTACTGGCAGGCCTGTGCCCCAGCTGCACGCCCGAAATCCAGGCAGGTTTGAATGACAGCTCTGGCTGTAGGAGATGTTACCCCCATCTAGGAAGGCTCTGGGAGTTGAGGATTTGGCATCACAGACCCCACCTGCCAGTCGCGTGTGGCTGTTTGCTCCCTGTGAGCCCCGCGGCAAGCATTCTTCCTTTGGTCATTGGAGCCAAGAGCTCATAAAGAGGAATTTAGCGTCAACTACTGGCAACCACCACACAAGGATCAAAACCCAGACACATTTCCTGGATTGTCCACACCGGAGGGACTCAGAAAGATGCCCACCACGCGGTGCCAGCCACACCCACTCTCAACCTCAGAGCCAGTGCGCTTTGGCCCTAGAACCTGCGAGCCACAGGGCCCCGAGCCCAAGTTTTCTCATCCACAAATGGGCGCATGGGTCCCAAAGGAGCGCTCAGGATAAGTCTGCAGTAAGAGCTCTTGCTTTCACCTGGCCACATGGGGATATCTCAGGCTCTGTGGCCTTTGTCCACCCTGCCACCTTCACCATCCCCCACGCTGTCCAGCGGGTGCCGGGTTGCCACGTGTCCCGCTTTCCCCCTCCCCCTCCCCCTCCCCTGCCGTGTGTCTGAGCCTGCTTGGAAGGCAGTGTCCCGGGGCAATTGCACGCCCAGGGTGGCAGCGGCTGAACTCGAAGCCGCCTGGAGGGTGAGGAGATTGTTGAAAGCTGGCATATTTCTCATCCAGCGTTTCCTGGCACGATCGCTTGCGGTCACATTAACTCAGACTTGAAAAAGCCCCCCTGCAATGTCCTGCTGCCCAGGGAGGGGAATGACTAGCCTAAGGTCACACAGCCTCTCTGATGAAGCCATCTCTGGGGTCTCAAGCTCCAACATGGTACCCCCTCCCTGTGTGTCCCTCCTCTTTGGTTTGCTGCTCTGGTGGGAAGGAAGAAATGCACTCTTGCCTCTCTGGGGTGGGTGTGGGGGGCAGCGCCCCTTCCTCCTCTTCCCTCTATTCCCCAGGCGGCTGGTGATCTCTCTGCTTCTCCACCCCAGCCCTCCTGCCCCCGGACTAGCTGGACAGGAGCAGGACCCTCCCTCCAGCCCCCATCTCCTCCAGCAGGGACTCACCGTGGTCAGGACGCTGCCCGCCACCGCTGCGGCCCCAGCTGCCAGCATCCACAGCAGGAGCCACTTCATGCCTGGGGACGGAAGCCAGCGAGGCTCAGAGGAGGATCTGGCTGCCTCTTGGGAGCCTTGGGCCCAGACTGGCCAGGCCCATCAAGAGCGGCAGATAGCCCCGCTCCACAGCCCGGGCCCGCGGGGGGGTTGGGGAAGAGATCTGACGTCAGGGTGAAGGACAAGCCCTGCATTTTCCTCTCAAAAACTTTTTTTCCTGCCTCTCTTTTTCTTTCTTCCCTCTGTCCCCACCTCCAGCCCAGCTTGGCCAGCCTCCCTGCTCTGACAGTTCTTAAAGGGAAAGTCGCAGGGTCCAGCACCCCTCCCATACTTGGGTTCTCCAGGGTGGGGAAGGGCGCAGGCGGGGCACAGCTGGAGCACATCTGGGGGGCTCTGAAAGCCATAGGCCCATCGCACCCCTCCTCCCAGCTCTGCAGACGCGGTCTTCTGCAGGTCTTCATCTGCCACCTCTGTGCCTGTCTTTCCAGCTACAGGCGAAGCAGAGAAATGATCGGAATTCTTGGAGAGAACAGCAGGAGGCTCGAGTTGTCAGGGTCTGGGCTACATGAAGGCCGTGTGTGTGTGTGTGTGTGTGTGTGTGTGTGTGTGTGTGGTCAGCCTGGCTCCTCAGCCCGCGCTCTGCCCCGCTGGCGCTGGTCTCTGCACCCTTGTCACCCTTGGTGGGCGTGGCTTCCTGACCTTGACCCTGGTAGGTTCTCACACCTGTCCTTTGCTTGTGAGAGGAAGAATGGGGAGCCAAGCCCATCCTGCCCCAGCCAAGCCCCAGCCAGCCCCACCTGGGCCACTGCAGACACCTCCTGGCACGCCATCTTTCCCTCCACCCTCTTGTCTCAGAGCAAGAAGGGTGGTCTGGGCTGGAGCCACAGCCCCTCCTTCCCCCCACCTGTGGGTCCCTCCTGGACATCCTCAGAGGCCTGGCTGCTGAAGGCTGATGGCTGTGTGACACTGGGAGGCTCACCGAGCCGTTCTGTTTTAGGTTCCTCCTCTATAGAGGGAGGGACGAAGAAGGGGTTCACTAAGCAAACAGCCCAGATCCCGTGTGTGGTGACCCCCTCTGTGGAATGTTCCGACCACCTGGCCCTGCCTGGAATGTCCTGGGCTAGGTTGCTCCCGAGTCCCACCCTGGCCCGTCCCACGGCAGGTACTCTGGCGTGGGTGGGCAGAGACCAGCGAGCGCACAGAGGGGCTGTGTCTGGGCTCCACCCTTGTTCTGAGGAGGCCGGGCCTCCCACTCCAGCCTCTGGGGTCAGGGGTCCTTTCCGGATGGGCAGCTGCCTGGCAGCCATACATACATTCCACAGCCCACAGTGGAGGGGTTTAGGGGCAGAGCCAGAGGTGAGTTCCCTCCGCCCAGCAGCAAAGCCCCTGACCAGAGCAGATGCATGGAAGATTCCAGGCCCTGTCTGGGGGGCAGGCTTAGAGGCCTGAGGCTGCCATCTGCCTTAGATCTGTTCGCAGCCTGTTTGTCACTTACGTGTCTTAAGAACAGCATGGCAGCCACACACGGCCCAGGCCCTGCGGCTACCAGACTTGCACCGTTCAACAGGTCTGCCCGGGGGTGGCCACTTCTGCAGGGCAAAGCCAGCAGTGGGCAAAGTGGGCCCTGCTGAGCCTCCCTGCCTCCCTGCAGCGCTGGGCAGGGCGCAGGAAGGCTCCACCCCTGGTCCTGAGCCCCAAGGACAAAAGGAGCCAGTGAAGGTCACCCAGGACCTCAGACCTGCCTGGAGAGGCGTGGTGTGCAGAAGTGAGGTCCCTTATGCCCCTCGAAGGTCCTCCCTGGAGTTGGGGTGGTCACTGAGCCCCCCACTTCACTTTGAGCCATGGCTCATGGCTCTTTGGGCAGGCACTCCGCTCTCTCCACAGCTTTAGTGACAGGTGGAAGATGCTAGAACTTCAGCTTCTCACCTGGGACAATAAGGGAGAGCACTGAGGTGTTGGGGTTGGGCTGGCCTGGGTGAAATGAAGAAATAAGTCAACAAAATAAGGCCTAGTTTGGGGAGAGGCCAGATCTCTCATGGTGGGCAGGCCCCTTTTCTTCTGTGAGCCCCAGTCTCCCCATCAGGAATTGGGGGTGAAGCTACGGGCTGCCTCCTGGGGTGGGGGCGTGGTGGCGGTCACTGCTGGTGCTGAGGTTGCACTGATTACTGGTATCTTTGCTCAGTCCGGGTCACTTGGAGCCCAGCCCTTGCTCTTGCTCCCAGAGGTCCCTTCCTGGAGACCGCTGTGGGGTGGGACCCCCCCGGGTGGGACCCCCCCCACCTGTGTGCTGACGAGGAGGCCCACACTTTATGACACTGTTTGAAAGCAGGTAGCGCTGTGTGTGAGCAACTCATTTTCTCTGAAGCAACAGCCTCTATGGAAGGAAAGGCAGGTTAGCGAGACCTGCCACCTGCAGCGGGGCTCCTAGATGTGGGAGACAAGTGTCCTCAGCCCGGGGCCCAGCGAGGCCTCTGCCTCCCAGCCTCCTGAAGACGGGCACCCACCTGATGGGAAGAGTCCTCCACCAGGGCCTCAGTCTTACCCTGACATTTGTCCTTCTGGATTCTTCCCTGTGATGCTGTCTCCCCAGGTCCCTGTGACCCTCAGGATTCAGGAAGCACTGGGTTCCAAGTGCGGCACATTCCAATCTTAAAGGAGCCTCCTCCCTGAGGGGTGCCCAGCATCAGCCCTCACTCCAGCGTGGGATGCAGCAATGAAGATCCAGGAGGAAAGGAGGAAGGAGGCGGGGTCTGAGAACTGTCACTCATGAGTGCCCATCTCCATCATCCCTATGGAAGGGAATCGGGAGGCTGTCTAGAGCAGGACCTCCCATCCTGAGCCCAGCCTGAGCGACGGCCACAGCAGGGCCCGCTCCCCAGTGTGTCTCTCCGTGTCTCACTGGGGCTGGAGAAGGAGGCTCCTCACAGGGGTACAGCCTCGGGAGCAGGGCATGGCAGCTGGTGTATAAAAAGCCCATTCCATCAAGGGGCAGAAAGAACATTCTGGCAACTCTGTAGTCCCTATCTTGTCTTTTCTGGTCTAAGTGTCAGGGAGTCTACGGACCTCTTAAACTTTTTGCATCAAGACATGAAATCAAAACTCCCTGCTGGCAGCCAGACCAGGAGCTACAGCTTGTTCCTGTTCCGTGTTCCCAGAACTTCTTGTCAGGCATTCAGATCCTCCTACCCCAGGGTCTCAGCTTCATGTTCACATCCACCCTGAACGCCTCCTACAAGTCCTCCAGGGGAAAAGCAGATGGGACGCCATATCAGAGAGAGGGATTCTGGGAGTTGTAGTTCCCACCCTTCGCCAAATTGACCTGAATGATCCAGCTCACCTTGTGTGAACTGGGGACCGACTCCAGTGCCTTATTCTCTGTGCTCCCGTGGAGTCCTGACTTCACACATCAGTTCTGGGTGTTTGTGTTACTGTGAGTGTCACAGGCTCTCATGTCTCACTTCTCCACACTGAACTGTCCCTGGCCTCCTGTCTCTCGCCTCTTCTAAGTCAGTGGAGGTAGACTGTACCCCTACTTGTCATACATCTCAGTAACATGGGTGTGATTTTAATCTACCATGTGCTGGCCATTTTCTAAGTTCCTGCTCTGTGATCATCTATTTAGTTTTAGAACAACCTCACAGTCCTTGTCCTACTGTTACCGTTGCTGTTTGGCAGACAAGAAATGAGACAGGAAGTACAGAGGGGTTAAGTAACTTGTCCACAGACACTCAGCTAGTGGGTGGCTAGCTGGAATGCAAGGCCTGGAAGGCTGGCCTGCTTCCAGTCTGCGGTCTGCTGGCCCCATCAGGTGCTGTGATTGGACAGAGTGAGAAGACAGATAGAGAAGGGGAGGGAGGGAAAGGGGAGGAAGAGAGAGAAAACCACATGAGAAAATTCTTGAGATTTGACTGAGTGAAGGCCAAACATTCCAGCTGGGATAGAAAAACTGGGAGACAAAACTGAAGCACACAGTCTCTCCTGGTTCACCTCTGGGGGAAAGTATCACACTGGTAAGATTTGACATCAACCCCTGCCCAAGCAATTCTAGTCTGCTGGCTTGCTCTGTGGATGCCAGAGGCCTCCAGGCTTGGTCTAAATGTGACTTAGAGTGCACATCTGCATTATACACATATGTCTCTGTCCACATCTGATCCGCTGTCTGGATCTTCTCCTGGTCATGTGCTCGCTCCAAGAAGAAAAGCACTGTAAATGCTGATGCTCCACTCCGTTCCAGTTCTCCAAGCTCTTGACAGGGAACAGACGTGGGTGTCTATCATGGTGGTCTTGTTTGTCAGTGGCAGAGGAGACAGGAAATAATTGCCTCTTTAAACTCACACACTTCCAATACTGGGTCTCTCCTTCCGGGAGACCCAGTCAAGCTGTGAAAGCTACGCAGCCTGCCCCTCCCGGTGTGGGCCAAGAGCCCCGCTGAGAACAGACTTGTGCAGCTCAGCGGATCAAGCAGGGCAGAGCTGTGGCCAGGGCTGCTTTGCTGCGACAATGCCCCTGGAAATTTTTCTGGAGCCCAGAAAGGGTGACATGAGAAGCCATTCACGCAGGTCTGACTTGTGCTGTGAATGAGCCTCTGGGGGAAGGGAGAGACCTTGCACAGTGCCTTTGGACGGAGGAGTCAGCTTAGGAGCCATAGACAGATCCCCTGGACACTGGGAGGGAGCTTGACCCAGAGGTGAAGGAAAGAAATCTGGTGCTCAGAGCCTCCAGCCTCCACCCTGGGTGTGCACGAAAGGCACACACAGTCATGCTCTCTATTTTACAAATATATGCATGTGTTCAAGAATGTGCATCTCACAGACCCACTATGGCCCTCTAAGAGACGGCTAAATGGCCCCAGTGAACCAAGAGAAGGGCTGTGCATGGATCATCACTAGCTGTAGGTGGAAAGTCCAGTTAACCTCAATGACTCTACACCCCAGGGCAATGCAACATGAGAATAAAGAGGAAACAGTTTGGCTCCCATGGCTCACACCTGTAATCTTAGCTGCTCAGGATGGTGAGATCTGAGAATTGAGGTTCAAAACTACCCTGAGCAGTAAGGTCTGTGAGAT